ATTATATATTTGTATCATTAATAAAATTGTAAGAAATTATGTAATTTTAAAATAATTGTCTATGCAATGTTTATCTCACCAATCAAGATGATCTTCTCAGTGTGTGTAATTGTCCAGCAGGTTAGGAGAGAAGCACATGGTTATCAGCCTTGGATGGAGAAGCCCATCTGTGTCCTCCCCCGGTAGGGGTGCGGTGGGGGGCAGCTCTGAGGAGTGGGTTGTGTGGACATGGGGGGAAGTTAGATGCCGAAAGGCTATCTTGATCTTTCCATTGTATTCTCTAACTGGTAGTTTTCTACCGAAAGCTAATTATCGTTGGATATAATTCTATGTTTAGACACTTAACTAAATTCTCTTATTGTTCAAATAGCTTTTCAATGCATTCTCCTGGTCCTTCCACCTATACAAATAATAATAATTTTGCTTCCTTCTTCCCTATTTTTATATTGAGCCACTAGCCTCAGATTGAACTCTGTATCAGCAAAGAATAGAATTTGAATGCACGTGTAAGCTACTCTAGAACTTTAAAAAAGACAACACCAAAATTATTTCATGGAGCTAGCATAAAATTCAGCCCCAAACCTGATAAAAACAACACAGAAGTAAAAATTCATATTGATTGAGGCAAACACTTGAAATTAAGTTTTAGCAAATGAAATCTCTAAAAATATTTTAAAAATAATGCAGTACAACACATTCCAAGAATGCAAGAATATTTTACTGCCAGGAAATAATTAATATTAGAAAAAAGAATTGGGAAGTAATTTCCTGTATTAAGGAGTCTCTAGGAAAATAAAACACCATCTATGATTATCTCCATTAAAGCCAAAATGGCATTTGATAAAAATGTACAGTCACATCTAAAATAGGAATAGATAGGGCTTCCCTGGTGGTGCAGTGGTTGAGAGTCCGCCTGCCGATGCAGGGGACGCAGGTTCGTGCCCCGGTCCGGGAAAATCCCACATGTCGTGGAGCGGCTGGGCCCGTGAGCCATGGCTGCTGAGCCTGTGCGTCCGGAGCCTGTGCTCCGCAACGGGAGAGGCCACAGCAGTGAGAGGCCCGCGTACCGTAAAAAAGAAAAAAAAAAAAAAGGAATAGGTAGACACTCCCTCCATGTAGTAAGAGAAAGAAGCTCAAACAAGAAACCAGCTTCCATGGAACAGGGACACACTGAGACAGGGACATTAATGGCAGAAACAGGTAAAGATGATCATTTTCATCATGATTCTTTAACACTGTCCTGAAAGGACTAGTTAATAGAGCTAGAAAATAAAAAGGAATAAGATATAAAAATTGGGAAGAAGGGAGCAAAATTGTCATTATTGTCAGGTGACTTAGCTGTGTACCTGAAACAAGCAGGAGAACCTAGTGAGAACTTTTTGAAAAATAAGGGAATTCAGTAAAGTGTGTGATTATGGAATTGATATACAAAATATTTCCCTAAAATAACTCATTTGCTAATTTCTTCTAGATTCTACATATTTTTCCTATATTCAAATTAGATAACTCATGTTTTCCTAGAAAGTCATCCATTTCTTCGAGGTTTCATATGTATTTGCATGGGTTTGAGCAAACTTTGCTTTTATTATGATTTATACATTTTTTTCTGTGGTTATTTCCCATTCTCACTTCTCATTTGGGGCAAAAGTTTGCTTTTGCTTTTCTCTTGACTGGCAGTGTGCTGCCAATTCTCTCTTTGCCCCTCTCCCATCTGTTTTTCTGCCCAGCTCTGTCCTATCCGGTTCCAAGAGGCCGAGCTGTGTGGCCGAGTCACCTGAGCAGCCTTGCCGGCGGCCTGGCGCCCAGGTAGGTGGGGCAGCAGGAGGAAGGCATTGTCACGGCCTTCCTAGGCCCGATGCACTGCAGCCCCTGCCCTCACCTGGTTCACATCTACATGTCACTTCCTCATTTCTTCAGTTCCGGGGCGGGGGGTGGGTGTGTGGGACGTGACTTCACCTGGAGCTTGTCCCAGGTACCCTTCTTCCCCTCACCCTGCCCACACCTCTGGGAGTAGGTGGGCCCTTGAGGTCTGTAGGTGCCACTGTTTGTAAATGTCCCATGGGTGTTGAAAAGGCGGGAACGTTCAGTTTGCTGGGCAGGGTTCGAAACCTGTTGATTCGTTTTGTGACCTAGACCCCTACCCTTAATCTTCTGTCATTGCATTTCTGTGATTGATTAGATACAGGCAGAGAGAGGTGAGTTCAATCTTTTTGTTACTGTTGTGTTTCTAGTTCTCTGCGTATTTACTTAGCTTTTCCTTTATAATTTGGTGCCGCATTTGTTGGCACATACGTTTTCCTGACAGTTAGGGCTTTATTGCATATTATCCTCTTGATCATTATAAAGTGTCTTCCTCTCCATAATGCGTCCCCTGAACTGTCCTGACTGATTGTGCTTTCACAGCCCCAGCTTTGCTCCCCACGGCTTTGCCCATCCATTTACTCTCAGGCTTCTCAGCGGCTTTGCTTAGGTGCAGCTCTTTTTTTTTTTTTTTTTCAGCAAGTAGATTTTTCAAGTATAATCTTAAAGGTATGAATTTATCCAGTTATTGAATATCTGTCACGTTTGATCTTAGTTCTATTGTCTTTTTTATGTTACTTTACTGAGTGTTAATGTTTTGTGTGTGTGTGTGTGTAGTTTGAATGTTTTCTGCCAGTAATATGGAGATTGATTGTCTTACATTTTAGTTTTATCTTTGTACAAATATTGAAAACTCCATTTCTTGATTTATCAACCTTCAGCCAGTTTTTGACAACCCAGAATGAAACATGAGAAAGAGAAAAGATTTAGACTTTCTTCCAAATCCCTTTCCTGCCTATAGCTCCAAGTTTGGTTAGTTTACATCATTCTCATGTGGCTAATGTCAGAATACTGACCTGCTGGAATCATACTCTGACTCTCTTTAGCCCTGAATCTGTAAGTAACCCACTGCCAGGCTATCTCTAGTTCTTGTACCAGGCATCTCCAAGTATGTCTTGGCTGGCTGGCTGGTTGTTTTTAGGACTTTCTAGAGACCTTCATGGGTGCAATATTTTGGGTACTTGCATATTTGAGGTTGTCTATTGCTCAACTTAGTATACATTTTTTGGGTCACATTTTATTTCCCACAAAAGTTGAATACATTCCTTTGTGGTCTTCTGGAATTTAGTGGTGCTGGGAAAAAGCTGAAGGCAGCCAAATTTCCTTCTTTGTAAGGAGTTACATGTTTTATTTTTATTTTTTGCCTGGTTGCCTAAAGACTTTCTTTTCTATCCTTGATAAAGCTTACTAGGATATGCTTTAGTGTTGCTTTCCTGTATCATTTTCTTCTGGAATATGGAGTGCCCTTTCAATCTGTAGCTACAATTCTTCCTTTTTTTCCCCAGAAATATTTCCTTCTCATTTACCTTTGAATATTTTTATTTCCATTTGGTAGGTTCTCTATTTTAGGGATACCAATTATCCATAAGTTGGCTACTTGTTGTTTGCTCTTCATGTCCACTGATTTTTTTTTTTTAAAAGTACTTTAATCAATTTGTCTCTTTATTCTGCGTTCTTTTTTTTTTGCGGTACGTGGGCCTCTCACTGCTGTGGCCTCTCCCGTTGCGGAGCACAGGCTCCGGACGTGCAGGCTCAGCGGCCATGGCTCACGGGCCCAGCCGCTCCGCGGTATGTGGGATCTTCCTGGACCGGGGCACGAACCTGTGTACCCTGCATCGGCAGGAGGACTTTCAACCACTGCACCGCCAGGGAAGCCCTGCATTCATTTTGATTATATTCAGTATTTCCTCTTTGCCGGAAATGTGATAATCTACCCTGTCTTTCCTTTGCTATTTTTTTTTTTTTATAAATTTATTTTTGGCTGTGTTGGGTCTTCGTTGCTGCGTGCAGGCTTCCCCTAGTTGTGGCGAGTGGGGGCTACTCTTCACGGCAGTGTGCAGGCTTCTCATTGCGGGGGCTTCTCTTGTTGTGGAGCACGGCCTCTAGGCACGTGGGCTTCAGTAGTTGTGGTTCGCGGGCTCTAGAGCCCAGGCTCAGTAGTTGTGGCTCACGGGCTTAGTTGCTCCACGGCGTGTGGGATCTTCCCAGACCAAGGCTTGATCCCATGTCCCCTGCTTTGGCAGGTGGATTCTTAACCACTGTGCCACCAGGGAAGTGCCCTCCTTTGCTATTTTTAATTTATTTATTGGTTCAGAAAGTCACTCCATTTGTTTCCTTATCTCTTTAATCTCCCCTTGTTATGCTGTTATACCATTTTAATCATTTAAACAATCTGAAAATCCTCTATAGTGTACAGAGCCCTTCCATATTCATTATCTCGTGTAATCCTTATGATAATTTTGAAGAGTAGGTATTACCTGTTCCCCCCAACATTTTATTCTAAAAAATTTCACGTATGGAAATGATGACAGAATTTCACAGTGAATCTCCATCTCTCCACGCCTAAATTCCACCTACATTGTCCCATATTGCTTTATCGCTGTTTCTCTATCCCTCTTTCTTTCCACCCATCAATCCTTCTTATTTTTGATGCCTTTCAAAGTTGCAGACATCAGTACACATCCTCCCAAATACCTCAGCAGAGTCATCTATTTTGGAGTTCTTTCATTGCCCTTCATTGTGAAAGCAGTCTTTGCTGTTCCCTCCAAACTGCTGGGCAGAGCTGCACCCAGAGTGATTCCTCCTGGCTCTGAAGAGGGATGCCACCACAGCACTCAGGACTCCTGCATCTCCTCTCCTTCCCCGCTGTCCTCATCCTCCCTGCCCCCCATACATTCTGTGATGATTCAGTTGATTCCTTAGCCACTAGGAGCTGTGCCACCGTACCAATTCCAGCTCATGTCACTTCTCCCTTTTTTCTCCTTTGCTTTCTGAAATTTATGTTACAGACCTCAAATTCATAATGTTAAACTAAGTTTTATTCACTTAGTAGTTATTCAATGTGACACAGGCCCCTTCTGGTTGCTGCAGTGGGCGAGGCTGGGATGGCCGGCAAGGTCACTGTGCATCCACGTTTCCAGCACCGCAGGACCTCTCAGAGCGGGCGATGGTCCTCCGTTTCACTGCCTCTGAAGAGCCAGGAGCTGGGGAACCAATGCTGAGCACCAAGGTACAAATGCCGACGGAGCTGTTCTCCACCCCTGCTCTGAGGGAATGTCTTTCTCGGCCCACTCAGGACGCCACTTCAGTTCAGGAAGGGACCTGCCAGAGAAAGGAAAGGAGAAGAGAAAGAGCAGTGTTTTTCCTCAGCTCATCCAGGTGAGCCTATCATCCAAGGAGAGAATCACGTGATACAAAAGATAAGCAACTTTAGAGAGAATTGGTCACAGGACAGGACCCTGAATTTCTTAGAGGACAACATCCCCAGTGGCCAAACAGGCACAGAGCAGTGTGCTCAGAGGCCATGTCTGGAGAGTTGCCACTTAACTCAACCAAGGAGCACAGCTAGAAAGGGCATGACAAGGACCAGAGTGACCAGGGCAGGTGACACAGAGTCTCGCTCCCTGCTGGGAGGACTGCACCTCAGCTCTACCTTTGGAGGCCAGTTGGGCCCTAATAAAACTGAATAAACATCAAACCTATAACCCAGAAATTCTCCTGTGAGGAACCCTTCCCCAGGGAACTCCTCCGTGGGAAGATGTGAACATGGCCATGAGCGAGCATTGTTTACAGTACTGAAAATTCATAATGTCCGCCAGGAAGGAACTGGCTGAATAAATTGTGCTATATTCACACGCACACATTCGAACGGCAATTAAAATAAATGAGACAGCTTTATAGGAGTCAACTGCATGAGAGCTTAGAGCTGCAGTATGAATACAGTGAGTGAAGAGAGCGTGTTTCAGAATTATAAATGCAGTGCGACTTTACGGAAATAGTAAAAACAATAAAGCTTTGCTATCTTGTCTTTTTGGATGCATATCCATAGAGCAAAATAAGACTGTTAGGATGGGAAGAACACATACCAACTTCCGATGGGGTTTGCCTGTCAGGCCAAGGAGAGGGAGTGGGGCTGGGGGAGGGGTACCCAGCAGATGCAATTGTAGCTGCATGATTTCATTGCTTTAGAAATCTCCCAGGCACTTTTGGAGATGTTAACATCTGTTAATTGCAGGTGGTGGGTACACAGGCAGTAGTAGTTCTCTTCGTAATTTTTCATAGTCTGGAAGTATCATGTGTTGTCTTCCCTCATTTCAGTAAAAAAGTCCTGGAGCCCTTTGTGGTGGAGGGGAATGTGGCTGAGCACAGAGGCTGAGGCAGAAGAGCCGGCTGCTGAGCTCCTGGAGGGCTGCGTGTCCCCTGCTGGGCCGTGAGCCCGTGAACCCAGGACCAGGGTAATTCATTTCTGATTCCCTGACCTGGCCTGGGGTAGCACGGCAGCTCTTCGGGTCATCTTGCCTGGAATGAACAGAGTGGCGACAGGGGTGGTGTCCCCCTTGCTCCTGTCTGTAGGGCCCACCTGGGGATCTGGCTCGAGGGCCAACCACGTGCCTGTTGAATGTATAGGTCGTGGGCACGGGGTGGGGGCAGGGTCCTGCAGAGGGTCGGTCCCCTCCTGGGCCCTAGCCAGGGAGGGCTTGACAGGGGAAGGAGTGGGCACTAGCCCAGAGAGGGGCTCGGGGAGGGCTGCCTGCTTCTGCTACCCGTTCAGGCCTCTGTGACAGACATCGGAAGGGAGTGGTCCCAGGACTACAAGTCCCCATGTCTCTCCCTGCCTCAGGGATGCAGGAGTTGAGCTTCAGAATGCTTCCAGTGCCTGCCCTGGGCTTAGATGTGGGAAGGAGGGCTGGCGGTAGGAACCACCACCACGGTAACAGTAACAACAGTACAATGCTGGAATTTTGGTTGCAAAATGTCACAGCTGTAATGGACCTGGCATCTCCTCATTCAGGAAGCTGATTTCACCAGCTACTGGGCGGGGGTCAGAAGGGGCACATTTGCGTGAAGTTTGAAAATAGATATTGGTGCCTTCAACCTAGAGCCCTGGGGAGGGCGTTGGCGGGTATTTGGAGGGGCCAGCTCTGGGCAGCTGGCGAGGCCAGGAGAGCCCAGGTGGGCTCTGTTTGTATTTATGGGATCTGATCTTTAAAATAAATCATCATGAGTCTTACTGACACATAAATTCGTGAAGTAGGATCCATTTCGAGTTGACGCTGTGCCAGGCCCTGTGTTGGGAGGCTGGAAGGAACCACAGGGGTCCCCACCTTTGTGAAGCTCCCTCTGGGAGCTGGAAGACACTTTAGGTTAGAGAGAGCTGGACGGAGCCTGCAGGGAGGGGACCGCGGGCAGGCCCAGGAGCAGCCTGTGTGGGAGGAAGGCCAGGGGACTTGAGGGAGTGCAGGCTCCAGGAGTGTGTGTGTGTGTGCGCGCACGCGCGCGCAAACACACTGGCGGGCCTTGTTTGCCCTATGAGCGTGTGTGTGTGTCCAGAAGGACCTTGGTGACCTGCAAGATGGCCAGGCTGGTCTCCTGTGGGTGGGCCGGTCACTGAGGTAGTGACAGGGTCAGACTGGCGGGGCCGGAGGGCAGAGCAATGGCAGAGGGCGTGAACTTGAGTCAAGGCTACATGTGGGTCTGGGCTGTGCCGGTTGAGACCCACCGCTGGGCCGCCCTGGACCTGGGCAGCATGGGCCGTCCAGTGATGAGTGTGGAATCAGTTCCTCCCTGACTCTGGAAGCAGGACCGAGCCAGGGTGTGGAGGGCAGGGGACAGGACAGGCTGACGCGGAGTGACGGAAGGGACCGGCCCAGGACTGTTCTTTGCAAACAGGCTCATTCCTCATAGGGGACCGCAGGGCCCCAGGGCCCCAGGGGTGGCCCAGCAGGGAAAAGCAATCACCAATGTCAATGAACCCAGGTCTCTGGTTCGATACCTCCTGTGAGGGATGCACATTATTTTTAGCTTTAAGGAGGCCCTTTGCTTTGAAAAGGGCCAGCTTTTGAAAGGACCGCATGGAAAGAGTCAGAGGCAATGGAAAAGGCAAGCTTAGAAATGCACACTTGCACGCCGAGATCCAAACACACTTCTCCAGGATGGAGTGAATTCAATATAGGAAGGGACTCTCACTCAAAGAAGTAATTAGATTTGGAAGATAGAGAGATAAATCTGGGCCCAAGTGAAGATAATTATATTAGCTTTTATATAACACAATTTATGTTTACTTAAAAAAAAAATGACAATTCGTTTCTTTGTGGATATTTGTATCTTCTCATATTTGGGGCTCCGCCATTGTCTGCACAACCCCCGAGGCAGTGTGGTGGAGCAGTAAAAAACATCAGGGAGGATTCAGACTCAATTCTAGTCCTGCTGTCTGACCCTGGGCAAGCCTCTTCACCTTTCTCAGCCTCAGTTTCCCTGCTGCTAAAATGAGGGGTTGCACTAGATAATCTCTAAATGTGTGGCCTGGTTCAAAGATGAAATAGGCCACGTGCAGGAAGCACCGGATGTGTGTAGAATGGTACCTGGCTGTGCTTTGCCGTAGAATTGACATAAAGGACAAACATAAACATCAAATAAAATAGGAATAGAAAAGTGCTACTAAAATCTTTTAATCTCAAAAGTTTGCATCTCCTGAATTTCTAGTTCTTTTTTTTTTTTTTTTTAAGAAAATTTGCTGTCAAATCCCAGCATGATTCACTTCTTGATTTTCCCCTATGCCTGACTTCAATACCAAGCTCTGCTTTCTACAAAAGCCCGGAGGCATGAAATGGATTAGCTCTTGGAAAACTGGGAGGTGAGTCTATTTTTTGACTGATTATAAAAGTCGTATATTTTAATAGGGAAATTTTTTACAGGACAGAAAAACCTGAAGAAGAAAACAAGGATTGTCTATAACATTACTATCCAGAGGAAAGTGTTAATATTTTATGTGCTTCTTTTTAAACTTTTCTGTGCATATAAGTTCAAATACAGACATCTTAAAATAGCAGAAAACTACAAATACAGCAAGCACTATATATCCACCATATTGAATTAACAGCTGTCAATATAGATCAAATTTATCACGTCTATTTTACTTTCCAAAGAATTAAAAAGCAGCGTATAGTTGACATCGCCTTGACCCCTACCTCGGGCTCATTGCCACAAGTACCGTAATTCTATGAGTATCTTTTCAATCTGTTTTTGGGGGGCTTGTATATTAGGTACTGGTATCTGTGAATAATTTAGAATATTGTTTCCTATGCTTCAAAAAATGCATACAAATAATATACTAAAAGTTTTGTTTTGCAGCTCTTCGTGATTAAACACTATGTTTTTGAGAAATGTCAATGGTGACATAGAGATCTAGTTATATTTAGTGCTGAATAGCATTTTATTGAATAAGTATTCCGTGTTTTATTCATCCATTCTGTGACTGGTTTCAGTGTTTACATATGTATGTATGTTATTTTTTACTGTTATGCTTTTTTCAAGAGATATTTCATGATGAAAATTGCCTTGTATCATTGACAATTCTTAAAAACATTGGTTTTGAATGTTGAATATTATTCCATTTAATGGATGCAGTTAAATTTATTTAACTATTAAAGGTGTGGTCTAGCGTCGTTCAGGAGAATCACTGAGCTGTCTAATATTGTGGACCCACATGAATAAATTTGAATTTGAAGGAATCCATGACATCTATGGGATTTGGGCTGACTTAAATACATTTCCAGCTTTGCCTTTTACAAGCTGGGTGAACTTAGCAAGTTCCTTAACTTCTGGGAGCCTCCAAGTTCCCACCTGGACCGGGGGGGCCATAATAATATAATCAGTTCCCGGGGCTCTTGGGAATATTGCAGGCATGGTGCCAGGCATATCACCCACCAGCGCTGCTCATCACAAATAGGGTTGTTATTGAGAGTTGTTGAGAATTAGGTTTCCTCTCTGGAACTAGTTTTCTCTTGGGAACCTTGAAGTTACAGGTGCTTTGTTCTGGGGATATACAGGTAGCCTAGTCCAAAGCTTTCAAACTGCAAGGTGCACGAGCATCTCCTGAGGGGCTCATTGAAATGCAGATTCTGATGGATAGGTCTGGGGCTCCGGGGAGCCTGCATTTCTAAGTAGCCCTGTGGGTGGGTGATGCTTGCTGAAGCTGCTGGACTGGTCAGCAGAGAGGATTTGACCACGTGGTCCTCTTCCACTGGCTCACTCTCCCTGGGCTCGGTGTTCTTCCACATCTGTGGGCGACTGCACGTGGGCGAGGGCTGTGGTTGGCTGAAGCCACAAGAAGACCCTCCCTCCCTTCTCTCCTCCCTTCGCGGGGGGGTGGTCTGGGGGCCTTCCTGTGCTTTAGAGTTGCTGAGGACTGCACGGGCTTCCATCGGTTTCGTGGTGATAATGAAGCCCTAAAGAAAAGCTCCTTTTCCTTTTCTCTGTAATACCCCTAAATCAATTCGTTTTTGCCATCAGGGATACAAGGTGGAAAAAGAATATTGCCTCGATTAGGCGGTGTGTCATCCTGTTGTCAGTTATGAATAGTTAATTTTACTTAAAGTGAATGGGCTCAGTAAACATTTTGGTATTATTTAATAACCTGAAGGTTTTTCGACCACTAATTAAACATAAAAGAACAAATCTAACCTACGGATCAAGGATGACGACTGTGCTAACAAGATGTTACGACATCCATATAAATATAAGAGATTCAGGGCTTCCCTGGTGGTGCAGTGGTTGAGAGTCTTCCTGCTAATGCAGGGACACGGGTTCGAGCCCTGGCCTGGGAAGATCCCACATGCCGTGGAGCAACTGGGCCCGTGAGCCACAACTACTGAGCCTGCGTGTCTGGCGCCTGTGTTCCGCAACAAGAGAGGCCGCTATAGTGAGAGGCCCACGCGTCGCAATGAAGAGTGGCACCCGCTTGCCACAATTAGAGAAAGCCCTCCCACAGAAATGAAGACCCAACACAGCAAAAATTAATTAATTAAAAACCAAACCAAACCAAAACAAAAAACATGCCAGGGAATCCTAAAGACCTTCTAATTGATAATAAAGAGAACTTTAAAAAAAATTAAAAAATAAGAGATTCAGTCAGCCAGAGAACAAAATCCTTGCTGTCTGCATCTGCTGGAGGGGGTGGGGAAGGGAGTTTGCTTCCTCACTTTCTCCCCCTCGCCTTCCATCCACAGACACCCTTTCCCCAATCGTTGCATGGTTGCCAGCTGGCCAGAGGGAGAGAAATGAGAAGTGATTCCTGCTGTCTGCACTCCATCCCCTCCTGTCCCTGCTCCTCTGGAGATCCAGGTGGCCGGGACCCCGGGCAGAACCATGGCCCTCCTCTATGACCTCCCCCCATCACCATCTGTCCCCATCCCTCCTGGACCCTGTTCCTGAGCTGTTTCTTGTTGTAACCCTGCAGGTCTCCCATCCCCTTTGCTCTCCTTCTTTACTGTGTTAATTGAGAACACCAAGACTCTCCTTCATCTTCGGGTCCCTTCCCGCTCCTGCTTCTCCCTGACCACACTCACTCAGCCTCATCCCTTCATCCTCCCAAGAGGACGAGAGCTCCCATCTCCACTCAAGGCCACATGTCTTGGCCCCTCCCCTGATGCTTGTGAGTATGTACTTAACGTCTATTCTCTCCACTCCACCACACCCTGTGGGCTCCGGAAGGTCACGGACTGATTTCTTATTCAAGGCTTATTCTTAGTCAGGAATTTCTTATTCTGATCCTCATGCCCAAGTGGCCTTCCATAAATATTTGTTTGGTGAATGAGTACTATCAACCATCAAATCCATATTGTTAAATATGGCCTCTTCTCGATGGCTCATATACCAGTTGGCATCCATGAGATGTGCCACGAGCAGCCCAGACCCAAGGTGTACAGAATTGAAGCCATTGTCTTCTTTCTTCAATTGGCATGAGTCCATTGTCGTCACCGCTTGGTGTTCATTGTAGAAACCTGGACTTATGCTTGGCTTTCATTATAGAAATCCGGACTTATGATTGGCTTTCATTATAGAAATCCGGACTTATGATTGGCTTTCATTATAGAAATCCGGACTTATGATTGGCTTTCATTATAGAAACCTGGACTTATGATTGGCTTTCATTATAGAAATCCGGACTTATGCTTGGCTTTCATTATAGAAATCCGGACTTATGATTGGCTTTCATTATAGAAATCCGGACTTATGATTGGCTTTCATTATAGAAATCCGGACGTATGATTGGCTTTCATTATAGAAATCCGGACTTATGCTTGGCTTTCATTATAGAAATCCGGACTTATGATTGGCTTTCATTATAGAAATCTGGACTTATGATTGGCTTTCATTATAGAAATCTGGACTTATGATTGGCTTTCATTATAGAAATCTGGACTTATAATTGGCTTTCTCTTAACTGAATGAGTGTCCTGAGACTCAGTCCCACTCCATGACCCACCAATTTACTTCCGGTCTGTTCCCTCCCCTAGGACTCAGTGATGGGCCCTGGCCTAGCCTTGAACCCAGAACCTGGTTCACAGAGCCAAGGCATGGTCATTAGCAGCTATGCTTCAGCCACAAGACCTCAGGGAAAGCCAGGGTCAGGTGCCCACCCAAACCCCACATCTCTGTGTTGCCAAATAAATAAAGAGGGCAGGTGGATTCCCCCTCCATCATGGTATCCAGGTCTCCTCAGTGCCAGCAATAATTTGGCAAGTAAAAATTCCAAGGTCACTCTATTATTTATAGTAGGAGCTTCATCTATTCTAGACACCTGTGCAAATTGAAACATTAATTCCACCAATTAAAAGAAAATAAAGATCACAAAAATATTACACAAAAGCTGTCTGCAAAAGGACATAAATAGTGTAGTCTTTGAGACAGAGAAGCTGCCCCACTCTTCCATAATACTTGATAGTGAGGAATGTCCAATGCTCTAAGGCAAATAAACTCACTCCCTCAAAACTTAAACTCAGTACAAGGGTCAGCATTCATCCCATCTTCATCCAGAGCACCTTCAGCCTCAGTTCAGGTATTTAGACTCTGGTTTTCACTTTTCGTTTGGATTTTTCCCCTTGAGAATTTCCCCTAATTTCTTACAAGCTCAACTATCCATTTAAAAGGATATCACCTCTCCCTTTCTCAACATTTCTAAGTACTTTATATAGCAGGATGATTTTTCTAGTTAACTAAAGTATTCTTAAATGTAAGCATGTATTAGATCGCAGATATAAGTACAATAAATTAATCTGATTGACAGACAAAAAAAAAAAAAACCACTTAAACTCAGGGCGAGGAGTGGATGGGTAGAGAATCCCAGACTCCAGTTCTGGACCATTATCATAAAGAGCTTTAGAAATATGAAAAAGAATCTTATATTTCTGGCTGAATGTGTAAGCTCCGTCCCCAAATTTAATGAAGATCAATAGAACCATTAATCAAGTCCAAGAAAATAGACAGGGTTTGGGGAACCAGCACTCTCCGTTGGAGACAGCCTAAACTCACACTCTTGCTTTGCCAGGGAAAAAGCTATTGATAAATGGTTCAGGCTGATGACTTCTCAAGTCAAAGGCATCTGCTTTTACTTTTTACATGTTCTCTCATTTCAGCTCCTTGGCTCGAGGCTCCCACAAGACCCTGTTTTGTGTCTGAACTGACGAGATAGTGAATCAAGGAATCCTGCTGCACCAGGAACCACCCCGTGTTCCACAGAGAGCGCAGTGCTCCCAGAATCTAAATGGTGGGCTCCATGCAGGGAGCCCTGCAGACACAGCTTAGCTTCCCCAAGGGTCAAGCGAGGAGTGAAGGGCTTTCAAAGGTTTGCTGCATCGGCTGTCAGCTGCAAGCTCCTTTGTTTCGGCAGGGCCAGGAGAGCACTGCCGGAGGCCAAGCTCTCCTAACTCAAGCTCAGGCTCCCACTTTGGTGCCAGCTCCAATCACAGGGGGCACGGGGTGGCCAGGAGCTGTGGCTGCCAAGGTTGGGCAGCAACCAGAACTTGGGGTGTGGAAGAGTGGTTGTTGAGAGCCTTCTGGACGGCACTGTGGGCCACTTTGTTTCTTTCTTTGGGTAGTTCTCTGCTTTTACTGTCACATCTCCCTTGGCCCAGGTACGAAGAAGAAAAGGTTGCCCACCATTCCAGTTCTACAAGGATCAAGGCATCCTCTACTGCTGTCACCCACCCCATGACAGTGCGCCCTGAGGGGGATTCAGGATAGAGCTAATCAGGGAGTACTCTGTGCTTTGGATGAAAGGGGCCCCTAGCTAGTTAGATGCATACCTCAGGAAGAATTTCAATGACCCCAGATCTTATATCTTCCCGTACATAGAAAAACACTAAAATCATTAACTTGAGATGTCTGTTCTTTGTGATTAGCAGTTGTCTTTTTATGCTAGACTGCATGTTTTTCTCAACAAAAAAGTTCATATATGTCCTGGCTCCTTCCAGGAGCCTTCTGCTTCCTCTTTGGAGCAGTTCCTCAGAGCTACTGAGAGGCTGTCTTCCAGGCTGTAGTCCTCAGTAAGGTCTCCAAATAAAACTTAACTCACTGCTCTCACGTTGTGTGTTTTTCTCACTGGACTGGACACTGGAATGACACTGGAATGCCTGCCCTTTACTCTGAACTAGGCCACCCTGCTCCAGTGCCCACTGCCTCACTTTTTTCCTCAGCTTCCTCCCATCACTGACCTCATAAAGCAACACTCTGCCCAAAGGGCTGCAGTCTGAGCAGACTCAGAGTTGTCCGTGAGGATGCAGTTTAATGCTGAGGCAGGAGATAGATGGGCCCCAGGCTGAACATTTTCTCCCCTGTGGAGAGAAACTCCATAAAAGCAGGATGATGGAGGAGGCTGGGTCCTGCCCAGATAAGAGGTAAAAGACCACATATTCCTCATTCTCGAAATCAAGGAGACCTCCCCGACTACACATGTGCAGAAAGGCTCCTTGGAGGTCCAAAAGGGGGGGGAGGGTGCCACCCCATAATAGGTGATGTCAACCTTCCCACAGTCCTCTTCACTAGAATCCATCTTGGCTAAGACATGTACACACAAACAGGGAAGGACCCTGAGATGTACCAAATACGGACTCAGAACCACGCAAAGCAAGATGACTGGTCAAAGGAAACCCAGAAGAAATGCCCCATATAAATGATTCAAACTACCACGAGGGTGCAACTCTCTCTCTCTGAGCCCACCCGTGTGTCTACCCACACATACTGTACCCTTTTTCCTCCCAATAAACACTTTACTGGCTTCATTACTTTCTGTCTCTATGTGGAAATGCATTTATTCACAGCTGACAGACCAGGGCCTCGTCGCTGGCCACTGGTCCCTGGTGGTCTGGTGGCTAGGACTCAGCACCCTCACTACCACTGCCTGACCTCAGTCTCTGGCTGGGAGCAGGAATCCTGCTTCAAGCCACTGCAGGCCAAGGCCACTCGAGACCAACGCCACCTCTCGGGACTTCATGCCCTACCTTGGCCAGTTAGGCCCTCGGGCCATGGCTGCGGCAGCGTCACACCTACCCTTCTGCAGTGCTTTCCTTGTCAACCTTGCCATGGCGTGTTGAATTGTCTCCTTTACCAAACTGGAGGCTCTGTGAGGTCAGTGACCTGCTTCTAGTAGCATCACGGTGGGCAGGGCCCCCAGCCTGATCCCTCAGTTTCCTTCGCCTGTGTGTTACTACCCCAAACGTGTTCTGTGGTGTGGGAGCCTGTGCTCACTCTTTTGCTTGCCATGGGGACTACCTACCATGGCAGGCAGTCATGTTAGGTAGTCAGGCCTACCCAGAGCTGTGTGTCTGGCGTGGGGCCCAGGGAGGTCTCTTGGTCACATGAATACATAGGACTTTAGGACCAACAGCTGGTCAATGGCACTAGGAAGTCAAGACCCTGGGACCCTGGGGAGGTGACTCTTTAAATACAGAAGGCGGGGAGGAGTTGAGTTACTGCCCTTGGCCTCTGGGTGGAAAGCCTCATGCTGGCGGGGGGTGGGGGGGGTGGGGATGTGGAGGTGTTTGAGCTGCACCTGGATCATCCCACCATGACGCACTGCTAAGGCCCTTTTCATGGTTGCTCGAGATGGGGCTCTGTCTCTGTTCTGTCCCATTGATTTATTTGCCTGTTTATGACAACACCGTACTGTCTTCAAATTACCATAGTTTAGAGTAAGTCTTGAAATCAGGGAGTATTTGTTACTGACTTTGTCCTTCTTTCCAAAATCATTTTGGATATCCTAGGTCCTTTGCTTTTATGTATGAATTTTATAATCAGTTTGTCAATAGGTACAAAAATCCTGCTGAGATTTTGATTGGGATTGTGTTGGATTAATTTGGAGAGAACAGATATCTTAATGATATTGAGATTTCTGATGCATGAATATGATATATGTCTCCTTTAAATTCTCTCAACGTTTCATACTTTCCAAATCTTTTTGTCAGATTTATCCCCAAGTGCTTAATATTTTCTGATGCTATTATAAGTGGTATTTTAAAAATCTCAATTTATGACTTTTTATTGTTAGTATATGGAAATAAAATTGATCGTTATTTTTTTTGTATATTGCTGTTGTGACCTACAAATGTATTAAGCTCACTTCTTATCTAGTAATTAAAAAAAATTCCATTGGATTTTCTACATAGATAATCATGTCATCTGTGAATAGAAATAATTTTACTTCTTCCTTTCCAATCTGGATGCTTTTTTTTTTTTTTTTTCCCATTGTACTGACTTGAGCCTCCAGTGCAATGTTGATAGAAATAGTGAGAATGAATATCCTTGTCTACTTCCTGATTCAGGGGGAATGTATTCAGTTATTCTCCATTGAATATGATGTTTTTGTAGGATTTTTGTGTATACCTTTTATCAGGTTGAAGAAGCTCCCTTCTTTCTATTCATGCTTTGCTGAGTGGTTCTTTTTTTTTTAAATCAGGAATGGATGTTAGATCACTTCAAATGCATCTATTGAGATGAACATATGTTTTTTCTGTTTCAGTTTATTAATATGGAGACTACATTGGTTGAGTTTTGAAGGCTATACCAATCTTGTATTCCTGGGATAAACCCCACTTGGTCATGATATGTTATTCTTTTTATATATTGTTGGATTTGATTTACTAAAATTTTGTTAAGAATTTTTACATCTATATTCACAAGGGATATTGAGCTCTAGTTGTATTCTCTTCTAATATCTTTTTTCTGGTTTTATTACGTCAGGGTGATGCTGGCTTTATACAATCAATTGGGAAGTACTCCCTTCTCCTCAGTTTTCTGGAATAATTTGTGTAGAACTGGTATTATTTTTTCCTTCAATTTTGGGCAGAAGTTATTAGTGAATCCATCTGGGCCTGAAGTTTTCTCTGTGGAAAAGCTTTAACTACAATTCTCTTTTCTTAATAGATATAAGGATAAATAAATTATCGATTTCTTTTTGAGTGAACTTTGGTAGTTTGTTTCTTTCAAGAAATTTTTCCATTTCATCTACATTTTCAAATTTATTGGCTAATTTAGAAAATGGCTTTCTGTAACAAATTACCATGGCTTAAAACAACAGAAATGTGTTGTCTCTCAGTTCTGGAGGCTAGGAGTCCAAAATCAAAGTGTTGGCAGGGTTGGTTCCTTGCAGAGGCTCTGAAGGAGAATCTGTGCCATGCCTCTCTCCTAGCTTATGGCAGTTGCTGGCACGCCTGGGCCTTCCTTGACTTATAAGTGCTTTACTTCAATCTCTTCCTTCCACCTACACATGATGTTCTTCCTTTGTGTTTCTCTGTGTCCAAATTCCCCTTTTCTTATAGGGACACTGGTGATTGGATTTAGGGCCCAATCCAATCCATTATGACCTTATCTTAACTTGATTACATCTGCAAAGACCTTATTTCCAATAAGGTCACATTGACAAATATCAGGTAGACAGGACTTTTTGAGAACACTATTCAACAAGCACATCCTTATCACACTTCTATTATCTGTAGACTCTATAGAAATGCCTCTTCTCTCACTCATGATTTTGGTAATTTGCAGCTTCTCTTTCTCTCTCTCTTTTTTCTGATAAGTCTGATTAGACATTTAATAACATTATTACTGTTTTTCCAAAGGAAATGGCTTTGGTTTCATAGATTTATTTCTATTGATTTTCTGCTATGTTTTTATCTGATAAGTCTGATTAGACATTTAATAACATTGTTACTTTTTTTCCCAAGGAAATGGCTTTCGTTTCATAGATTTATTTCTATTGATTTTCTGCTGTGTTTTTATATTTCTATTATTTCCTTTCTTCTACTTACTTTGGGTTTAATTTTCTCTTGTTTTCTATCACTTCTATCAGTTTTACATTCATGTAATTTCAAGCTCTGATGTTTGGGGCATAAATGGGTACAATTTTTATGTCCATGTGATGAAATGATGGCTTTATTATTATGGAATAATCGTTTTGACGCACGGTAATATATTTTGCTCTGAAATCTACTTTATCTGATCTTAATATAGCCCCTCCAGCTTTCTTTTGCTTAGTGTTAGCAAGGTTTATCTTTTTTCCATCCTTTTATTTTTAATGTATTTTTCTCTGTATTTAAAACGTATTTCTTGTAGGCAGTATATAAGCGGGTATTGCTTTTGCATCTAATCTGCCATTTAACTGTGAATATTTATCCATTTATATTTAATGTAATTATAGATTTTATTGTTTATTTTTTTATACATCTTTATTGGAGTATAATTGCTTCACAATGCTGTGTTAGTTTCTGTTGTACAACAGTGCGAATCAGCCATATGCATATATGTATCCCCACATCACCTCCGTCTTAAGCTTCCCTCCCACCCTCCCTATCCCACCCCTCTAGGTCATAGCAAAGCACTGAGGTGATCTCCTTGTGCTCTGCAGCTGCTTCCCACTAGCTAATCTATTTTACATTGGGTAGTGTATATACGTTGATGCTTCTCTCACTTTGCCCCAGCTTCCCCCTCCCTACGCCACATCCTCAAGTCCATTCTCTATGTCTGCGTCTTTATTCCTGCACTGCTACTAGGTTCATCAGTACCACTTTTGTATTATTTATTTATTTAGATTCCATATATATGCATTAGCATGCGTATTTGTTTTTCTCTTTCTGACTTACTTCACTCTGTATGACAGACTCTAGGTCCACCCACCTCACTACAAATAACTCAATTTCGTTTCTTTTTATGGCTGAGTAATATTCAACTATATGTATGTACCACATCTTCTTTATCCATTCATCTGTCGATGGACATTTAGGTTGGTTCCATGTCCTGGCTATTGTTAATAGTGCTGCAATGAACATTGGGGTACATGTCTCTTTTTGAATTATGGTTTTCTCAGAGTATATGCCCAGTGGTGGGATTGTTGGGTCACATGGTAGTTCTATTTTTAGAAGGAACCTCCCTACTGTTCTCCATAGTGGCTGTATCAATTTACATTCCCACCAACAGTGCAGGAGGGTTCCCTTTTCACCACACCCT